GGAGGTCATGACTTTCTAATTTCAGCCAAAGTCTTGTTGGTAAATTTGTTTATAAGATTAAGCTTACAGTTGTTGAAAATGAAACATGATAACCTTATGTAAAGTGGCAAAAAAGTATGAAAATTTGGGTGTGATGGTGCTGAGTATGGTGAGTACTGGCTCACTTTGAAGACTGGGTGTACTTCTACATTGCAATCTTTGTTGTAAATCAAAGCAACACATCAGTGTTCTGAATCACCCCAACGTGCGTAATAGTCTCAGCCTGGCCAAAATGAGTTGCTAAATTCAGGATGATTAGGTGTTTCACAAAGACTCATATCAACCCTGAATTTACAATAGAGTGCAGTTCATTAACTATCAGCATTTTTACTGACCTTTTCAACTGGAGAACACACAACCATGTMTTTTTTCTCCATCTTTGTGTGTTTGATTGTACAGTGAGAGTCAAATGTAAATATATATACTTGAGTCTGACAAGATAAGAGCTTTGCAGCCTTCTTTGTGTGTTTGAAAGAGGCTGATGCAATGACTTTTTGCTGTGCAGTGGTTGCTGATGCAAATCAGTCTGATGACATGAGGTTCTTCACAAATAAATGAATTTGCTTTCTGTTTCACCTCCAACTATCCTTCTCCTGTATCTCTCTTCCCTTCTTGTCCCTCCTTTTTGTTTATCAAGTACACCGTGTCTCATTCTCTCGGTGTCTCCCTGCTCTAGCTACGGCTTTACTCCTCTTCTTTTTGTCAGCTGTTTTTATTCTCCCACTTTTCTTCAGCTCACTCCTGCACCATTGCTTGGATGGCAGTCTAAATTTAAAAGTAGTAAAATGTGAACATTATTGGGTGAAAGGTCTTACTTTTGTAAAGCAAAGGTCATAAATGCTTTGGTTTAATAACATTCTAATTTGCTGCTATTTTCTTTGTTTAAAAGAAAATAGCTTCATAAGTTAAAATGTCAGATTGTTTGCAGTGTTAGAAACTTGTGTTACTATTCGATGTGAAGGTGTAACACAAAAACATGTATGTAAATAGATAATTAAATATATAAATAAAACTATATAAAATATATAAATAAAGCTATAGATAAATAGAGAAAATTCTGCGTCTGTTTCAACCAGACTACTTTTAATGACATTGACTCTGAGTACAAACTGTTCTCATGTGGTTTGATATGAGCGCCACACCGTAGTGCTGCTTTAACATTAAAGAATTTGGAGAATTGCACAGCTGCCTTGGGAAAAAAAGTACTGTACAAAATACTGCGAAAACCTTGAAAGAGAACACAGAATTTGTGTGTAGCAGTTTTTTATGGGGAAAAAAAAAGCTTTGTGACATTTTTGGATACATATTGATGCTTGTATTTTCTTTTTTTCCTTCCTGGAAAACATTTTAACACCCTGTGTGGTTCCTTTCTAACTAAATTTTGTTCATACATTTCTCACTTTGCTTTTATTACTTCATTTTCTTTCTTTTACTCAACAATTTATTTCTATAAAACTCTTTAATGTCACAACTTTTACTCAGATTTTTTTACTCTCCTACTTTTGCTGTTCCCACCAAAATTCTCCCTTTTTGCCTACCATCCCTACAGTTAAATTGCTTTCTCATTCTCTGCCTTGCCATGACAAGAGATGCAGGGAGAAGCAGAAAAGAGTGGCGAGTTAAACAGAGACGCACAACTAGGCCAGCACAACCGCCTCCAGGGGTGTGTGAATGTGTGTGTTCATGAGTGTTTAGGTTTGCTATACGCAGAAATGCTGAAAATGGGAAAGAGATGGAAACAGACACTGAGAGTAAGGTCAGGAGATGCTGGTGTTATTATACCAACTGCACATGTTTAAATGGAAAAAAAAGTTTAAAGTTTACTGAGCAGGAGCAGCAATAGAAACAGTACAGTTTGTTAAAAAAGGTCTCATGAGGTCTGGTACTGTGTACTTCAAAGATCTGTTAACGTTAAAAAAGGCATAACATGCAAAGTGATAAAAGACTTTTTTGTTTTGAAAAAAATATATAATCTACGTGACAGATAATTAGGGCCTGCCAACAAAGTGGTAATGGTTTTTATTTTAATACAAATGAGAGAGGCACTGTGGATTTATTTTTCCTCCAGTCATATGCAGTCATCCAAGACATGGTAATCCTAATGAATTTACTTACTTTCTTGTTTACGTAGCTTAATCCAACTCAATTTAATTAAGTGTCGCTCAGATTTTTAATGTAAATACAGTATAAAACTTTTGCTCGTATGAAAAGTTGTTGTTACTCTTTAATTAGTTTAGTAACCCTGGACACTTTACAGGGAGTTCAGTCATGCTCTCATGCCCTTAAATCAGTTTTTCCATTGCGTTTTGGTCTGTCACCATCAACCACAATATCAGCTGAAATTGTGTTAGTAGGACAATGACAATTAAAGTCCAAACATTTGTGAAGGAATGTGTTTTAACCTTATTCTGAAAGAAGATGTAGCTTTACTGTTTTGTAAATGACATTATGTTTGATTTCATATGTTATTGAGAGATCTTGTGAGATGTGTTAGTGGTTGCAGCTGGGGTGTCAAACTCATTTTTACAGAGGGCCACATGAGCAGGATGGTTGCCCTCAAAGGGCCAGTTGTGATTAGCTTTGACATTTCATGTTTAACTTAAACTAAACACAAAATATCGTGCTCCTTGTCTCATTGTTTCTGCTGAGCTCTCCATGGTATTTCCTGCGTAGAAACAGAATTTTAGCACGTCCTCTTACAAATACTGAAAAGTACTGTGTGTACGACTTACTAAATGTGAAATAAATACCATTAAAAGTAAAAGTAAAAGTTCTACTCACTGTTGAGTTGTGGTGAGTAGCTGCCATCTTGAATTCTGAACTCTCCCGTTCTGACAGGGAATTCCCACTGGAGGCGGCGTTCCAGTTTAACTTTGACTTGTAAATGGGAAATTCCCACTTCCTAGTATAACTGGGCCCCAGCTACATTTGAACCCTGTGCACCTCCACCCAGTGGTTGGATGCCGCCATTTTGCAAGCAAAATAATCAGCATACATAAGAGTGATGTAGTTTAAAGTCAATGCTGACTTTAAAGCAGCATACACTTATTTTAGGACATTAATTTATCTTAGAATATCTCGTGGGCCACACACAATGTCATGGCAGGCCACATTTGGCCCATGAGCCTTGAGTTTGAAACATGTGGCTTAGGTTACAGTATGTGTTTAGGATGACTGTCAGCTTCCGTCTTGCTGTATCTCTAAATCTGACTAAAATGTAGTCTTTTTAGTGCTGGCTCTGTTTAGTTAACCGTGACGGCCATCTTGAAGTTGTTCAGCTGTAGCTGTATACATCCAATAATTATTTTGAATTTCAGCGGTTCGTGAGATATTTTGCTTACACAGCAGACAAAGAAAACCCACTGCTAACCACTTAAACATACAGTATATTTTCCCTTAGTCTTTATTCAAACAATACCTCCACATTTTAAAACTCAGGATGCAGGAAACTCAATCAGCTCGTGTTTTTATTAAATGAAGTGCACGGATTTAACGCACATTCACCTCATCGTGGTCCGTTTAGTTCGTGCACACGTGCGAGCGGCCGACACGGGAGAGAACTTTCAGTCTGAGAGAGCTAATATATTTGCACAGGCAGCATTAGAGCTTGTTTTTCATTTTGTATTTGGCTCTCCCGATTTCACAGTCTCCATGGAGACGGCTGTTAGGATGTCAGGCGTGCGGGCCCTCCTGCTCGGCCAGACGCAGCCTCCTGAAACAGCTGCTCACGCTGCCATTCGTTCGGGTTGACATGTGTTTCCCCCCCATGTATGCATTTGAGAGCGTTAACGTGTCTGTCTCCGGTAAACATGACTTTATTTGATTAGTTCTCAATGCTGTAAGTCCCTCACAGGAAGTAAAGTTACCAGAAACAAGGCTCTGGAAAATACCGTATGGGGCTTTCCCTCTGAACGATTGTAAAGAAACATTTTGCACATTTAGATCTCGACTATATGTATTATGCACACATAGGAGAGCCTCGTGCTATAAATAAAGCAAGGCTGCAGTGTGCTCGCTCATGGAATAATCTATCTGACACTATGGAGAAAGGATGAGAGGGGATGGAAGGAGGCAGACAGAATTCAGAATGGGTGCTGATGTATTGAAAAGAAAAAAAAGAAAAAAACAGAAAGTACAGAAAAGGAAAAATCAGAGCACAAGAGGGAGAAATCAAGCCGAGTAGCTTATTCACAAGCTGTAGCGTTAGCATCTTGTTCAAAAGCCAGAGATGTTTCTCCTCAGTATCTACTTGTGTAAACGTCCATGCTTCTTTCTTTTTAAATAAATCTAACAGAAATCAGAGGAAGTTTGTTTAATTTGTACTCTTCACACCTGTGCTAAGAACGTTTAAACTGGTTCTGAACTTGTTTTTTTCATCCAAGTGCTTGTGAACAAAATGTCAAGCAGCAAATTAAACAGATATTTTCCAGATGCTCTTGCCAAAAATACTCTAGTTGTTTGTGAATCTTCGTTACATCATCTTTTTTTTTTTTTTGTGAATATTTGGATTGAACTGACTTGGGTGGAATAAGCATGTTTCCCTGGGATATTTTTCTCTGGGAGAAAAAAAAAACAAGCTGACAGGATGCTGTAAAGAAAGCACTCGGGAGCAAGTTCAGGCTTTTGAAACAAGTAATAAAAACGAGCGCTGATGAAGATGATCAAAGCACAACACTAACCAGCAACATCCAGTGTGATGCTCTTTTACTAATTGGCCTTTTTGTGATTATTCTTCTTGTTGTTTTTTTTTTTTTTTTGTCTAATCTACAGTGCAACAAGTCAGCCTTAAAAAACAAGCAAAAAACATTATTTTTAATATTTTAATCTGTTTGTGGAAATATAAATATCTTTAGACGCTTTTGAATGAGTCTAAATTTGTTTTCGTGCACTCGCTTAATGACATGTGCCGGCGTATTTTTGTATGAACCAGTTTTGCTCTGTGTGATTGTTCTTCCTGTTAGGTGATGGAGCTAAAGGGTCAGATGATCCACGTGCCCGAGTCCTGCTCCTTGATGTTCTTGGGCTCTCCTCGTGTGGATAAGCTGGAGGAGCTGATGGGCAGGGGTCTCCATCTGTCAGATATCCCTATCCATGATGCCACGCGGGACGTTATCCTTGTAGGGGAGCAGGCCAAGGCCCAAGATGGCCTGAAGAAAAGAATGGACAAACTCAAGGTAAAACACTTTTACACAGTTTATCAGTAAACAAGTTCATACAGTAGGAAACCGCTCTGATGTAATCATGCAAATATAATGGAAATTAAATTAAAATGAGCTTATGGCAGTGGTTTCCAAAGTTAGGGTCRGGACCCACAATGGGTTGCCTTATTTGTTACAAAAGAGTGACTTTAGTGTACGTAAAATGGTTGAAAATGAGCATAATGGATATTATATTTGTGTTTATTTTCTTGAAACAAATGCTTCAATCACAATCAAAAATAGTGGGGGCCACATGTCAGTGGTATTTTGTTGGCCAAAAGCTGAAAAGTTTTGGAACCACAGGCTTAAAGAATAAAATAGACTGTCCATGGTCAAAGGTCAGATTGTTAAAATAACTGTAGCTGTGTAGGATTTTATTTGGCTCTAGTAGTTACTATCTACAGACCCCCCCAAAAAAAGGATCAAGTTCATTTGACTGAATGTGACTAATCCGAATTCAGAATGTTTTACTGACTTTCATTTTAGTTGTCCTTACCAAAAACCTCAGTGATACACACACTGTAAATTCAMTGCATAGAAAACTGTAAAAATGTATTCTGAATAGAAGATTTTGGCTCCTTGGAGTTGCTCTTTTTATTTGTTTTCGAAGCTTCCCTTTGCAAGTCATTTGGTTTAATCCAGTTCTATTCATTGCATCAGACCCTCTCATTCAAGCCACTGTTGTTAGCTGCTTCATCGTAAAGCACTGTAGCATACAGTTAGGTAGTAAGAACTCTGCAACAAGCATGTAGAAATACGACTAATACTCACCCACAAATTTATTTGCAACAATAGCAGTTTCAAGTTGATGTATCACCCCCAACTTTTACCAGAAGAACAARCCTCTTAATCTCCCTCTGGCTTGTCTCAGGCCACGCTGGAGCGCACACACCAGGCTCTGGAGGAAGAAAAAAGGAGGACCGTGGACCTCCTGTATTCAATATTCCCGGGCGATGTGGCGCAGAAACTGTGGCAGGGTCAGCCGGTGCCCGCTCGTAAATTTGATGACGTCACCATGCTGTTCTCGGACATCGTGGGCTTTACCGCCGTGTGTGCCCAGTGCACGCCCATGCAGGTTATCTCTATGCTGAATGAACTCTACACGCGCTTTGACTACCAGTGTGGCATTCTGGATGTTTATAAGGTTAGTAAAGWGACAAACATGCACCTTTTTTAAAATGATATTTAGGAATAAAAAAGCAGCTTGATTTAAGAGGAGAGCAGGAGGTGGAAGAATGTCATCATGACTTTACTGATTAATGTTCAGTTTGTGGGTGCAACCTTTACCTTCCCATAAATTGAACCCTTCTTTTCTTTTTTTTGGACTCCTGAAAACACTGGCAGCTAAATCTTTTTGCCGTGTATGTCACTGTCTACGTGTACTGGATCTATAAATGGCACACTGTCACGTGGAGGCGTACTTTTGTTGTGGAAAAAGTAACTGATTAATAGCCAGTCTGTGGGGACTTACCGTAACAAAGATGTGTCAATATTGTCCATCTGACAGTGTGGCTTTGGGCCAAGTTACAGTCATTGCTGTGATCTGCCATTTTTTCCTCTTTTCATCCCCACTCTTTTAACAGGTCAGTTAACTTATTATCTAATTTCTGTTTGGGATCAATAAAGTATTTTTGAATTGAATCAAATACTTTATTTTGTCCATTATTTCACACATCTTTTTAATGAAAATTGTTTTTTTTTGTACAGAAGAGCATAAAGAGAAGACTAAATCACCCATATTTCCTCACTGTCATGGTTACCGCATCACTATTTAGCCCTAACTAACCGTTTAACTCAGTAAACTGGAGTCAGGATTTAGTGGGATTGTTTGTGCTTGGGATCTTTGACTTCTCAGATTGGGTCAGAAGCAGTGCAAGTGACATTTCAGTGAACGTTTCAATTGCGCACCTGTTCATAATGTAAATTATGTAGGCCAAGGAAGAGAAACAGAGAGTAGCTCTTATGTGGAGTTAGGAGTCAATGATTGCTTTTAATTTTCTGCTGCTCAACTGGTTTATTTAACTTATCACCATATACAACCCCTGACAAAAAGTATGGAATCACCAGTCTTGGAAGAGCACTCATTCAGACATTCTGTAAAACAAACTCAGATAAAAAACATGATACAATAATATGGTCATTCCAAAGTGCAACTTGTTGGCTTTCAGGAACACTCAAAGAAATGAAGAGAAAACGTGGAAGTCAGTGAATGTTACTTTTATTGACCAAGCACAGGGAAAAAATGGAATCACTCAAATCTGAGGAAAAAAGTATGGAATCACTCAAATTGGAGGCAGAAAGTAAGGACACACACAGTCAATTTCCTTTCCCTAAATGGACACCTGCCTCAGATTAGATCTGCTTGTTAGTCTTAAAAACACCTGCAATCATGACACCTTGGAGGGYTGCTGGACGAAGTGGAGTGGCAAGAACCATGGCTCCAACAAGAGAAATGTCTCTTGAAACAAAAGAGAGGATTGTGAAACTTCTTGAAGAAAGTAACTCTTCACACATGGTTGCTAAAGATTGTGGGCTGTTCACAGTCAGCTGTATCCAAGATATGGACCAAATACAAACAGCATGGAGTGGTTGTTAAAGCCAAGTGTACTGGTAGACCAAGAAAGACATCAAAGCATCAAGACAAACAACTAAAGACCATTTATCTTGAAAACTGAAAAAGTACAACTAAACAGATGAAGCATAAAGGGGAGGAAGCTGGAGCCAATGTATGTGACCAAACCGTAAGGCATTCCTTGGAGAAAGACACATTCAGTCGATGTCATGGCCTGCAAATAGTCCAGATCTCAACCCAACTGAAAACCTGTGGTGGAAATTGAAAAAAAAAAAGGTCCACAAGAAGGCTCYGACCTGCAAAGCTGATCTGGCAACTGCTATCAAAGAGAGTTGGCACCAAACTGATGAAGAATACTGTTTGTCATTCATCAAGTCCATGCCTCAGAGACTGCAAGCCATTATAAAAACCAAAGGTGGTGCAACTAAATACTAGTGATGTATTTTGAATGGTCTTTTGTTTATCTGTGTTTCATGATTCCATACTTTTTTCCTCAGAACTGAGTGATTCCATTTTTTTTCCTGTGCTTAGTCAATAAAAGTAACATTCAGTGACTTCCACAATGTTTCTCTTCATTTCTTTGAGTGTTCCTGAAAGCCAACAAGTTGCACTTGAATGACCTTATTATTGTATCATGTTTTTGATTTGAGTTTGTTTTACAGATTGAAATGTCTGAATGAGTGCTCATCCAAGACTGATGATTCCATAGTTTTTGCCAGGGGTTGTAATCACGGGTAGACTTGCCTTTTTTAAACTATACACATATTTAAGCTAGTGCTTCTTTTCCTTTTCTTGTACAGATTGAGACAATAGGTGATGCCTACTGTGTGGCTGGAGGACTTCATAAGAAGGTTGACAGCCATGCGAAACCAATCGCTCACATGGCTCTGAAGATGATGGAACTTTCTGAAGAAGTACTGACACCTGATGGGAAACCTATCAAGGTGAGTCTTAAATTCTTCCTCCACTATACTGTTATGTAAGTCAGTTATTTGGGACATTACTTTTTTTATATTAGCCTTCCTTTTGTAGTTACCGTCTGAGCCATTCAAAACAAGAAACAAGACTAGAAAAGGAGCATATTTTGAGGCCTGGTTGGGCGATAAAGCCTCAAAATTACCGGTATATCTCAAGGAAATTTGCAATAATTCTATTCATTTAGCTGGGTTTTTCTTCTCCTCTTGGGGTTTCATTGCTTTGTGTCCTGCTGCATTTTCTTTCTTCAGTTGATGAAAAATGTTTGTTTTGTTTCATGGTGCAAAAAWATAGTCCCATTTAGATATTATGTTTTGTTGGCCAATTTTTGTCCTCCTCTAGCCAAACCGCTTTCAAATTGTTAAAGTAGCTTCCAGTGGCTTCCATGCTGCTCTAAATCTCTAAAGAAGCCTAAATCCCTCTGGTGCCATTGGTTATATGTAGACAGACAACATTTAAACCTTGGCACTAAAACATGGTTGGATTGGCGTTGAGATGCTGCTCTCTCTGCTGAAGCAGCATTTGTGTCGGCTAAAACCTGATTAGAATTATGTCAAAACTCTGCTTTTCTCCTGGAGCACTGCTCCATGCATCTGCATGGAAATGATGTGTATTCACTATTGATCTGTTGTTGTGAATGCTGGAAATGTAAACGCACAAATTCACAACACTGATATTGCAACGTGACACTTTTCTGTCTCATAAAATGTTGCACTCGTATTATTGTGTAGGGTACGATATATACCATCCCTATCTGAAATGTAATGGATTAAGTATGTGACCTCTGGAGTTTGTGGTTTGTCTGATCATGCAGGTGATAACTGCATAAAATCATGTTTAGGAGATGAGATTTTATGAGTGAGAATTTGGCACTAAATGATAAACATCTTTATTGGACAATAAAGTCAGTTCTTCAGTTACCTTCAGTGACATCATTTATTTGCTTATGTAAATTTCTGAACCATTCAAGTTTAAAACAATATTTGTCTAAAACATTTATCTCACCCCCCAAAAAATGACACTCGTTTTTCTTTTGGCTATTTTCCAATTTGAGATAAACAATTGCACTTTAATTGCAAGCACAATAAAATTTGTGCACATCTTGTTTCTGTCCCTACTTCAGAAATCAGCTATAACGTTGAGTGACCTCTGTCATTCATTCAAATCTACATTTAACAAGGACATTAAGTACTACTGGAGTAAATTTATGATATTTTCACTTTTATTTTTATTTTTTGCCATTTTATTAGTTCAGTTCCACAATGACAGCGAAAGAAAAGCTCCTGCAGAAAAAGAYGACTGCATTATATAGAGAAGAAGTAAAACGTCACAGTGAAAAGAATAGACTATTACAGTTTCGTGTTAATTCAGCTGAATAAAAATGGGACAGGGAAAATGATTTATTTATGTCTGTCCTCAGTCCAGTCTCTGTGAAGGTCACCTACCGCTCCGAAAATCAGTCAGAAGCTTTGCAGGCTTACTTGGACTGGCAAATAAATTAGTCATCTGTTAAAAAAACAGAAAAAACAACATACAACAATAATACTGTTGTCATGATCTGTCTCTGGTTTATTATAATATAAAATAAAACAGAAAAATTGCTGTTTTGTTTTAGTACCGACAAGACTTCTTTTAAAGTGAATATATCTGAATTTTTTTAAATAAAGTTGTATTTTATAGAGTACTGATGCTCTGAATAACTGAATCTGATGACAAGATGAGTAAGGATCAACAGTGCCTTTTCATTTAGTTGAYTAACTTTGCTTTATGTTTGAAAAATGACAAAAAATAAAAATAAACTGGATTATTTTTGCTGCCTGAGCACATTTTTCTCATGACTTGTTTAAAATCTACCTGGCGCAGTGAGGGACAAAACATGCACGAAACAAGAAATAAAGACGGAGCTGTTGAATATCAGACAGGACACATCCTGCAGCTCTCCTGTCCTAATGTTGTCCATTTGTCTTTAAATAGAAAGGCCTTGCCAAGCAGTTTTGTTGTCCCCTCTCGCAATGACACTTTCTCTGTTTTTTCCTCCTCCTCCAACCCCCTCCTTCTCCTCCTCCTCATTTCTGGAGCTTCTCTAGCTTTCACCTTTATTTCTCCTCTCGTGTCTTTCCTCCCTCATATTTTTACTCTCCTTTCTACCTTTCTATTCATCGCAATCGTTTATTTTTCGGTTGCACTCTCCTGCTCCTTATCGCTCCTCGTTTTGCGTCGGTATAAAGAAGAGTTATTGAGATACTCGCCACTTCAGCACGGTAAATGCTGTTCAGCGAGTGCACTCAGCTCCAGCCAATGTTTCGCTGTTATGCAAACTAGCATGAGAGCTGTGAGAGAGGACTGAGAGCCGATGAGCAGAGTGATTCAGGGACACAGAAATACATTGAGGAGTGAAATGTCAAGGGACAAAACACATCCAGTAATCAAACATTGTCAGTTGTTTTTATCCATAATATGGATCTTTATGTATGTTCATGTGTCTAGATGGACACAAGAGAGGGAGAGCAGACTGTATTCTTACCAAAAGCTATTGCTACATTTGATTTTTCTTGCTGTGAGACTTCTGCAGGATCTGCAGCATTTTGTTTTCAGTCAGGCACTGATCATGCTGACCAAAAACAGCTGCCTTTTTTTCTTTTTTTTATTGCGTTCACATTGCAGTTGCCAGTAACTGCAGTATCTCTGCAGTACAAGGTTTTGAACTTTGCAGAGCAAAGTCAAATCTCTTTCCCCACCATTTACTTGTCTAAGGTCATCATTTTCAGCACAGCGCATGCCGATGTAGATGCATCAGAGAAACAGTCACTGGATTTAACACATACTGTGTGGGTTCAGCATGTATCATTGCCACTGTAAAGATAACAATTATTTTAGACGATTGCCTTTGAGAAATTTAGTTTATTCTGCAGATGGATTTATTGTTGACAGTGTTTTCACACTGTWTGTGGCACGTGTAAATAAAAGTCAGAGTGAAACATTTAGTTTATGTTAAAATTGTTTGGGAAGTTCATGGCGAGGGACCGCCAACATTTTTCAACTGTATATGGATATATTATTTGTAAGAAAATTTAGTGTTTGTTAATTGAAATCGTGACGAGATCACATAAATGTTGAATCTGATTAAAATTGTGAAGAGAATGGACAATAAAACCCCAGATCTGGTTCTGAGCGAAGCTTTACTGCTTACGACTGAAGCAAGCAAAGCAGCGCTGCCCGTAACCTGAAGTTCTGGTCTATAAATACAGGGATCTTCAGTGCCTGGTGTGCCCACTACAGGCCTACGGCTGAATCGCAGGCACTCGTACAAAAAACATCTTTCCTTATGAGATCATTAACGGTTTGTTTTCTGTGTTGTGATGGTGTTTTCAGGCATGTATCTAAACCTATTTTAATCAAGATATTGCTACAAGATTATAAAAGTCAAGCCTTAAAAGGAAAACTCAGAAAATGATGTGGTGCTTTCAAATCAGTGTCTACATGAATTCCTTCATATTCACAGACTAATCATTTAATTAAATGTTTTGGTTGCAAAAACAATAAAAAAGTTGGTTTGCACTATTTTGCCAACATCATCTAAATCCAGTCTAAAATGTTTCATTGTTTTTATTCACAGAATTACCATAATGATAATGAAATGACCTTATTTTAAAAAGTTTAGGCAGGAACAAGAAATTATTTTTCAATATTGCAGCTTTTTTGCTTTAAACACAAAATTTTTAGCTAAGTGTAGCATATAGTCTGATGACGGCAAAACATTCAATCTTTAAGAACTTCCATCTCTCTGCGTTGGTGTCTCCATCTTTTCATCTTCCTGTCAGCGTGGCCAGAGGCTGCGTTGTGATTGGTCGCCTGTGCTGCTGCGCCATTTGCTCTTTGGCTCGATGAAGGCCATGTGCTGCCGTGGAYGCTGACTCACAGCGGAATGGAGGGGAAGAGTGTGTGTTTGTCTATTGCCACGTCTGTATTTGAAGTCACAGAAATAAAGAGGAGAGTGTGGGAGCAGATGCAGATTTGTTGTCTGTCAGTGTTTGTCTGTTGCAGAGGCAGGCGAGTAGTTGTAGAGCGTCCGCGAGTGGGTTAGCTACAAAAATAGGTCACACTGGTGAACCTGCCAGCCCTTTTCTCCCTCGCTGTCTGTTTCGTTTTCTTTATCTCTCCCCCTGAACTGTCAAGGTCCTACCGTCTAATTATAGGCTCACTTTGGCTCCCACTTCATTGTCTTTCTGTCTGCCTGCGCTCGTTCCGTCTCGCTACAACCCTCGGTTGTTGTTGCCATGACTACCTCGCAGTGTGCTGGAATGAAAGGTGACGACAGGCTCAAGTAGATCGTTAGCAGTCGACTGGGTTCCACTGACTCGCTGTGTGTGTGTGTGTTTATAATAACTGGTCGCTGTGGTTTAAATCAATAGTTAGTCAAGTGATCCTGAGTCGGAGTGATGGCCCAGATTCATACCAGATTATGTTATCACCCATGTAGGTGTTACCAAGAGGCAATCCATCTCATACACTTGCTATTTTAAATCTGCAGCCTCGGGACATCAGATCAGATAATAGCATCTACATTAGTATGGAGGTGTGATCGCGGCTCTACATTTTCCATTAACCTGACTGTTGCACACAAAATACTTTTGACCAGATAAACAAGACGGCTTTTGTGCTGCAGGATGGGCAGCGCAGTAATTAATTGCATCAGTTCAGGTCCTGTGGGAAATTTGATTTATGAACGTTGACTGCAGGGCCTGGGGTATTTGTTGTGTCAGTTGAGAGGCCGGGCGGGGTTAAATTCAGGCACAAATTAAATGAAACTAGCTCGGTATGTGTGGAATGTACACCGAAATCACATCTTGATACGTTCCATCGTGGTGTTCGATAATGCAGTACAACAGAGGGATGATCTGTTAGCGCAGCCTTTTTTTTTCAGGATGAAGTGTTTGACTTGAATTATGTATTTTGGTCTCTTTCATTTACATTTAAAATGATCTCCTGGAGTTTCTCTACCAGATGTCAACTCAGCTCTTCTCTTTAAAAGACAGGAAAAACTCTCTACGCTCTTACTTTCACATTCTCACAGATCTTTGACACATACGTGTCTATTTCTAATATTTATCTATCGCAGTTTCTCAAACTGTGCCTAGAGATTTAGTTTATGGATTTTTTAAGTCTTAAAGAAATAGAGTTTACGAAAAAAATCCCAAGCTGCTTAAATTTAAGGGGTTTCCATGTACTTTATTTTCTCCTTTCTGCATGATATGTAATTTGGGCGAGCGTATTGTGCAAAACTGACTTTTTAAAGCTTTATTTCATGTTATAATGCCATTTCCTCATCAAAAAAATGTATGGGAGTGTTGCTTCGACTCATTCAGACAGGTTTGAACAATCCTTGAATCTCCTGTGGGAGCCATTCGGAGCTGCTACAAAGCATCGCYTATTTACCCAAAGCTTCTCCCTGGAGTTCAGTCTGCAGTCGAGCCCCCACAGAGCATCCCTACCCTGCACAGCTCCACCAGGTAGTCTGGTGGAGCTGCATGACTGTTGAGCTAGTGATACTATGCTTTTTTTTTTTTTTTACAACACAATGCCCCTACAAAAGTGTTGGATTCACTCCTTCCACGCCACTAGGTGGCTCTATAAATCATTTTTCTTTTATTTTGAAGGGCTGTGTTAGAAACAGGAAATGAGGTCGGAAAGACAGGAAGTTCTCTTTGCCGCCTGAAATGATCAAGTTGCCTTAAAAATATGAAGAAKTACACCTTTATTCAAAGTTTAACCATTGCCCTACGTGGTAAGAGAGTTTGTTGTTATTGATTATCAGCCTTCTGGGTTATTGTTTAGTTTCATTTGTGTTGTTAATGATATGAATATGTTTTGACTCAATATTAATGTGTAGTTTGATTCTAATATGTTTAAAGGAGTAAATTAAATGTTTTTTTTTATGGTTTAGGTTTAGTACAACTTTGTTTGTGATTTTATTTGAATAATATAAAGATGAAAGTCAAGAAATGTTTCAGAAAGTTTGTTTAAATGTTAAAGATTAAATGTAATTTTATTTGTTTTACAGTTTAACCGGCATCAGCGTCAAGCTGCGCTGTGTATTTTCATCGGGCAATAAACAACAACAGCAACAAACTTCATTCTTATGTTCTTTGTAACATAAAGTTAAACACGAGGCAACCATAAAATGAATCCATCGGCAGTCATGTTTGAAACTGAAAAGTGTGCAGAAGAAATAGATCTTGTGACACTGAAGAGAAGGCGAGGACAAGCTAAAGCAGCCATTACAAAGATGATAACAGCTGCAAATGTAAAGATCAGAGAAAATGAGCCTGAAGAGTTAAAAGCAATATTGGAGAGCTTGGACTTTGCTGTCACACAACTTCATGAAGCTCACGTACGTTATCATAATAGGCTCACTGATGACATTGACAAAGAAGAATCTGAAGCCTATGAGAAGTTTATCATGAGGAATGTTCATGATATGCGTCACGAGGCTCTAACTTGGCTGCAAGAATTGAGAGATAGAAATGATGATCATTCTGATGATGACAAGATGGATTTTCCAACTCAAAATGATTTAGTTAATGAATCTCCAGCTGATACCGAAAACAATGCTGTGTCAGCAGAACTAGAAGAGCTACGGTCTCTACGAAAAAATGAACAAGAGAACTTTGAACTGATACTCAGACGCAACAAGGAGGAGTTTGAACTAGAACTTCAGCGAATACAACACAAAGCTGAGCTAGATGCACAGATGCTACACAATC